TCCTTCTCCAGAGAAGCAGGACAAGTGCTTCCCTCCAGGTGACACACACCAATTGCAGGACACAAGTCCCACAGGTTGTTTTTCACCCATGTGCAGACCTCCTGCATGAGGCATTTTAACACTGAAGGACCGTTTAGGCCTTGGTGCTGTCTGTTCTTGTGATCCATCAGGGAGAGCCCTCATTCAGTGCACCTTCAGCAACAGCCCAAACCACAAGCACCACCACACAACGAGGAGGAACACTGACAACAAATCACAGAGAAGCCCATGAAGTTGTATGACAAGAATGATGCTTGTATTATGAAAGTAGGTGTGTGAATCATTAAGCAACAATGCTCCACTCTACTGTGAGTATTCAAAAAAAACCCCAAAAAACTCCAGAGGGCATTCAGAGCAGCAGCTAAACCAGGCTCTTATTCCAATGGCTCCAACAAAGTTTCTCTTTCTTCCTTTCCCAAATAAAATGCTGCTGAAACACAGGAAGATTAGCCTGGAGAGACTGAAGTCAGCCTCTGTGATTACCCACCTTAGGCTTACTCTGGCATTTTCACAGCTTGGTGCACAATTGCTTTATTGTTTTTCCCTTCTACAGCCTGGACTGAAAATGTTGATCGAGCACAGCATTAGTGATTCCAGAGCAAAACATGTACAAGCATAAAGTACATCACACCTATTCAACCTCCCCCAGAATCTTTAAAAAATAAATAATGCATCATAACCAGAATAAGAAGATTGAAAATTTTTATTTGTACTTAGCACATACAGGAAAGATAAAAACAAATATTAAAAGATAGCATTTGTAAACAAATATATTTCACAAAAAGTTACACACTATCAAATTTGCTCTGAAAAAATTCAGTTATAGCCATTTATAAATGTGTATTTATCAAAATCAAGCTATAAACTACTTCATTTTTTAAGTATCCCAAATGAAGATTCATTCATTCCAACAACTTCAGAGAGACCACAGATGTAAGGCCTAATGAAAACAAATGCATGAGTGAAGATGGCACTATGATTTGCAGTTTTTAAAAAAATAAAATCGGCAAGCGATCAAAATATCAGCCAAGCCTATTTAAAGACCTAGGTTTGTAAAATATACATTCAACTTTGCAAATGTCTAACTTAAAAAAATAGAGCTATTTCACTGGATTGTCCTCATCCTGTAGTGTACCAATCATGAGCTGTGTTTTTGAATCCACTCAGAGAAAAGTTATCAGTAGGTAGTTTTATGTGATTGTATAGTTCACTTCCATAGTCACATTAAAAATAAGAAGACAGCAGCACCCTTTTAGCAAGGATTCATTTTCAACATTCTTGCCTTTATAGCAGCAGGTATGGTTTGGGGGGATGCTATCAATATAATCAGTATGTCAAAAAAGGAATATACACGTTCCATAAGGGTATTTTAGGGGTTTTTCCCTATACGTGGTTTCAAAGTTGGGCAAGCACCTCTATTTTTGCAGCAGAAGACAAAAACTAAAAACAAATGACACCCAAACCTATGACTAACTCAGTAGGCTCCCTTTGTTGGTGGTCCACAAGCCATTTTGATTGCCAGTGTGAATTCTGTTTTTCCCTCCCTCCAATCTCCTATTTGCACGTCAACTAAGAAACCCAAAGTTTCTCAAACTTCATCTATTAATATGACTCAAAAGAAACAAGATCAGAAAAAAATAACTAAGGCACAAATGGCTGATCTTCAACAGCAGAGCAGGCAGAGGGTCACAGATTCAAAAGTATGGTAGAATGTAAATCCCCAGAAGTATTCCTGGTCTCGGGGCACTGAAAATTCTTACCAGCTTTCACAAAAGGTTTTTCAAGCTTTTTTACAAAGACATGGAAAATACTTTTCCCAAGAATGTCCACGAACACAAAACAAGGATGGATGTACATACAAAGACAAACACTTTATGCACGATACACTTTGAACATCCTGCAGACAGACAAGGACCATGGAATGCAATGATGGTCTAAGATGGCAGGTGAAATGAAGATGACTTTTTCAGAGGGTCGTCATGAGTTTATCTTGGTACAGCATGCCTTGGACTCCTCCTAAATTCTTCTGGTTCTGTTCCTGGATATATCGTAAATGGCTGTCCTCTCCACTTGGGGGGGGTTTCCAATATGGCCTGTCATCATGATAGGGTGGCCTGTACCATTTGCACAGTTATTGGTTAGTGAGAGGTGGCAATAAACTTATGAGTGCTACACAGTAACATGAGTTCATCCAGCAAGTGCTAAGCATGCACAGGGTGTGATGGGCAGCTAGCAGCAAGAGAAGGAGATGGTGTCAGACCTAGAGGTCTGATGCTGAAGCTGGTGGGAATCTTTTAGCTGATTTCTAAAGGCTTTGAGTCAGAGCTCAGTCATTAAAAACCCTCTCTGTTTGCAAGAGTTATAGACAAGTGTTGTGCATTAATGCTCCTAAATCCCACAGGGATGGGGAGAGGGAGGAGTCGTCTAAAGGAAAACTAAACGTGTATAACAAAGAAGTAAAATAAACTGTATCATGCAAAAAGTTGAGCTCATGAAAATATATCCTTAAGGTCTAAAAAATTAAGAAAGTCAAGCCTATTAAGAATGAAAATGGCTTTTCTGTAAATATTGCCATTTGTCAGCATGAGTGCAGTTAATTACACTGAAGCAGCCTGTAAGTTACAGACTCACATTTTGTTAAGATGAAGACCTAGAGTCTAGAGTTAGTACAGATATTTCTCTGTGAGTCTGTACTGAAACTTGCAAAAGTGCTAAAAGGAAAAATATTTTTTCCTTATTTGTTCATTACTTATTGCTGCTTAGAAATATTAAGCTCAACCGCTCCTACAGTGTCTCCTGAATCACTGGGGGAATAAATAAATAATTTGAACAGTATGTAGGAAACCACAATATTTAAGATTCCCTTATTAACAGACTGAAGTTGCATTTTTAATTTTGGCATTTTTTTTTTTAATGCCAGCAGAAATACAGGCAGGTTTAAATTTTACTTTTTTTTGGAGATACTCTAAAGTTACATGACGACAACTGTTAATTAGAATGAATTTTCTCAGAAGACTGAACATTAAGTTAACTGCAAACAAACAATTTCACTAAAAGGATTTTACTAAGAGGACTGAGACACAAGTCCACATATTATTGCACAAGATTATTCAACAAAAAAACTCCATATATGACATGTACTGCACAGGTAGTTTCATTTCAGCCCTTGGCCCATTCTAGACTTGCATACCCAGCAGAAAGAATTTCATGCATCTGTGGTTTGATCTTGAGTTCGTGATTGGATGCATTAAGCTTTCTCAAATCAAGCTATCCAAGATGTTAAACATCCAACTCTTCCACTGACTCCAAGTTAGAATAACCTGAAGCTTCCACTTTAACCACACATTTAAATGCTTCTACCTGACTGGGACGAAAATTCTGAGCACCTTTTCTACCGAGCTTGCACGACACTTTAACCACACATTTAAATGCTTCTACCTGACTGGGACGAAAATTCTGAGCATCTTTTCTACCGAGCTTGCACGACTGAGCTTTTAAGTACGTTTCTTAGCCTTACAAGCCTAGTAATAAAAAAGCCATTGTTCATATTTCACTGACCTTAATCTTTGCCCTGGCAGCAGAGGGGCTGAAGGGGGACGTTGTCTACACACATTACAATACATTATTGTGTTTATTTCAATACTACTCTGCTCCACAGTGAACTATTTGACTTTAAAATGTCATAGACTAGTATCATAACTGAAGCAATCTTTAGAAAAATTTCAGCAAAATCTCAAACAATTTATAGAATCGTTAACCTCTCTTGGCAATCACTCTTTTGTAATGCGAAATTGTACATTTTAAATCACACACAAGCAAATGGACAAGTAAACCCTAAAACCAGGAAGAATCTTGAATGTGAAGTACAGGCAAAGTTAATTACCCAATCTGAAGTCTTCTGTTTCTAGTGTAAGTTTAGTATCTGCTTTACTGCTGCATGCTAGGAATTTTGAGATGACAATGAGTATGTCTGCTGCTCTGACCAGGAACTATTCCTAATAACATATTTGCCCTTTTCATGCATTCTCAGACTTAAACTTGAATTGTCTTTTCACCCATTTCAAGCTCTGTCTCATCTCCAGAGCCTGCCTACACTAAGAACGAAACCTACCTATCCCGATGTAAGAATAGAGAGATAAAAATATAAGATGAATAGCAATGAAGATTAGGGTATTGGTATTTTTCAGTCAAGGCAGTAATTATTTGCCTAAAAAACGGTGTAATCTAACAAGGTTACTTTTTATTAGGATAAAATAGCAGCTGATTTTTATCACAAGAACATGCACAGACACATATGCACCAGCAGGTGCATGCCTTCACTGCACATTCCACCAAGCTGCTTCTAACCTGGACTGAATTTCTTCCAAAACTTGTTTTCATTCAACTTCTCTCATTACTAGTTAGTTACAAAGTAAAAAAAAATTATGCGAGAAGATAGCACATACAGGAATGTTTTTGGAAAACAATTCTCAAAACCTCAATGTTAAAATTTCACTAATTGTCTATAAAGTACCTGATACATTGTTCCATGTACCTGCTATTTTTCCATACACATTTCTGCAAAAGATTTCTTCCGCAATGCAAGAATTTGTTCACTTATAACTATACCCTAAAATGAGTTTCTTCTTCATATTAGGAGATTAAATACTTATCAAATTGCTATTAGTTTTAATCAAAGCTACTGAGCATCTTCCCATCCAACATACTACCTATAGAGATACACTAGAGTTGCATCTCAAATTCTGAAAAAAACCTGAAAAAAATTTTCATCCAGGAGATTAGGACATTCCAAAGCAAATTTTAAATTGAAGTTATTTAATACTGCCTCTACATCACGTATTTCTAACTTCTGTTTGCTTTTCATATGCCAAAGATTGCTCAATACATCCACCAAAGCTTCATGCCAACAGATTAAGATAAAGGAAGAAGTAATCATCTTTTCCAAAGTGAAGATTGCTTACCTCACGTTCACAGGTGTATGTGGATGCCAGTGTGGCTGAGCAGGATGTATATTAGGATGATACTGCGGCTGCAAGTGAAAACATCGAACCCAGTTAATGACATCATATTAAAAAAAAAATCCTTGTTAACTTTATTATTTTCCCAGGGCCGTGAGGAACATGATCCCTGTGAGCCCTAGGAACTCCACCGTTTCAGACCTTCTCCCATGCCACTGAGCATGTACATGAGATAAGCTTGCTTGTTAGGACACACTCATGGGAAAATGCAAAGGAAATTGCTTTTCTGTTTGAGATGACCTGGTGCATCTAGTGCTTCTCACAGAAAGCACATCAAAAGAACGTAAGCTTTAATCAAAGGTGGAGAGTGAGAAAGGTTACTATCGGAATAGCAGTCTTCAGAAGGTCACCTATTTTTGGTGACAGCATTTCTCTCTCATGTCCATGAGATTTTGAAGAGAAACAGTGAAACAAAATCACCAGTGACTCTTCTAATAAAAACGAGGGTTAAGACTAAGTTCCCATGCACATACTGAGTTTGGATGAAAGCAGTTTGCTTTCTCAGCAGCACTGACTGCTAGTACCACAGATGAAAACAGGGTAAGCTTTTTCCCTGAAAGAAAGGAGCTTGTTTAAAAAACAAAACAAACATTTGACCAGCAATGAACTCCTCAAGTGTTGTGATGGGGAAGATAACTGCAACTTTCAACTTGCTGTCAGGGATCATCCAAAGTGAGAGGCTGCTCTAGACAAAAGCTTGCTCACAGAGCAGTCTCCTAGGGTCCATCATATTCAGAGTCTCAAAGGCTTTAACCTGTGATTTCACAGAAATGGAAGCGAAAGAGGGTGGCAAATGAAGCATACTCAGCCTGCAGAGCATCCAAGAACACAAGGGAAGAAAGAGAGGAGAGTCTCTCCACTCTCTCCTTGACTCCCAATGTGATGTTGTTTATTTGTGAAGCACCTCAGAGAATCTCACCCCAGAGTAAAGGCAGGCAAGCAAAACAGCTGTACCAATTGCAGAGAGAAAACATTTACCACTGCATAAGAAGAATCACGATATTCTCCTCAACATTTGTTATGGTCTTACCTGGTAGTTATGGACTTCAGGAGTATTTTTAGCACTAAGGGAGGAAAAAACAAAATCAGCTTTTTGTAATCAATACATCTATGTCACAATTTCCTGTAGTTCAGAGTTCTACTCTTCAGGAAAGTATTACAGTGAAGTAAAATTCCTACTCTTAAGGACATCAATATTTTGTTAGAGATATACACCACTATAGCAATTAGAGTGCAAGGAAGAGGGGTGCAATTTTTTTTTCTTCATTTTACGTTTATGAAAGAGGAACAAACTATGCTTGATAAGTTAGCATAATAGCAATGAGCAGAAAGGAAATATGTTCTACTTTACTCTGATCTCAAACACAAAAAAAAAAAATAAAAAATGGAAGCACTTTAAGTCTCACAGGCAGTCCCCAAGAAGAATCTGGTGCTATATAATGAGATCCCTAAGCAATTCATCCCACACAAGAGAATTTGTTTTGACAAATCCTAATGCAGAAATGGTCTCCAGAATCCTTTTTGCCTGACGAGTGCAATTAAGAGGTAGACAGAACTTGGGCAGTCACTTACCATAGTTGTGCTGCTTTCACAGGATTGTTTGCTTAAAAAGAAACAAACAAAAAAACTTTAAGACAGGTGAAAAAAACCTTAAGACGTGAAATATCAGTCATTTTGTAGCTATTGTTGACTGGGAAGTTACACTACAGCTTAAGCGAATCCTCATACGTAGTTGCACAAACGCATCAGAACTGGAAGCGCAGCCCTGCGCTTTCTAGCATTCCTGTGTGGGTACATCAAGTATGAGGAAGACACGAACCTCCCTCTGTTTCTGCAAGAGTCTAAGCCCATCAAAGATGACAGCAGACAAGAGTATTTTTCCAAATGTTACATAAAAGAAAGACTTTCGGCAGAGCACACTACTTCTCTCACCTAGCTACCATGTCAATACCACTGAATCCCTTGGAAATGAGAAGCTACTCCTCACAGAAATTTCGCATCTTACAGAAACCTGAGTATTCCTGAAGCTGGTAATGGGCTGCATCTTATTACAGTGAACGATGGTAGCCAAAAGAGCCCATCAGTTGGGAATACAGGAAGACACTGAGCAATCTTGAGCAACAAGGTCTTGGCTTGCGCTTTGGACAGGCTGGAAAGAACGGTGAAGAAGGCAGTTGAATAACTGGCAAGTATCATTTCTTATTCCTGACAAACAGCCTATTTTTCAAGAGCATTAAAAAACTGCTGATGATACAGCAGAAAATCCAAGTCTCTGTTGAATGCAGAAAGTAGATGACAAATTTAATGAGACACTGTACAAGTCTCAAAGAGACTGAGCTAGGACAGAATCCAATGCTTGTTGGCTGCAACTAGGTACAGGTCTTAATGGCCAAGAGGTATGTGAAAGACAATCTAAAGGAGTTTTTGCATTAACTTAACAAGCATGCTGTTGAGCTCTCTGGAGGGAGATCATCTGGGTATGACACAAGTTCTGCCTCACTGCTACGCACAGAGAAATAAACTGAGCAGAAGCCACATTTTCTTTTTCTTCTCCCATCTGAGACATAAGTACAGAAGCACTGAGACACAAGGTATAACCTGCAGGTCTGACAGATCTTGTTAATGTAAAAATGAAATTAATATAACATATTCTTCCACTGATGAAATCATCCACAGCATATAATTGACTCTCACATATCACACAATGGTATCTCACAAATTTAATAAATTTGCATTTCCATAAAAACCTGACATGTACTAAGGAAGGGGGAAGGGGTGTTTACAGCCTCAAGAAAGCATGCCTGCTTGCTATCTCCCCCCCCCCATTATACATGAGAAATAAAAGCGTCCCCATAATACCCCAAGTAAGCTTTTCACTGAACTGAGGTTCATATTCTAGGAATGCAAAGGAGTGCATAGATATCCTAAGGGAATGCCAGCTCGCTCTGCTCCATACAGCAATTATACCTCCAGCTTCAAGTAATACAGAATTTAGAGGGGGTTGTCTTGCAGTGCTCCTTCCCTGTTTTTTCTACAAGGAATAAAAATCTCATCTTAAGTTTTGAAGGACAAATGACAAAACCACGAGGGAAATCAATTCCTTGTCATTTCATTCAAATTCAGCACATTTCAACTCCCAGAGAAAGCTGGTTAAGGTCAGAGGCTGGCTAGGTGGAATAATGTGCCATTACAGTCAGCAAAGCAGCAACAACTGCATAATGACACTGCTCAATAACCTACAACTATCTGGCTAGATGAGCAAGTCAGCAAGGCTTTTTGGACCTGCTCCAATCTACACCACAAATGCACTTTTTCAAAGAAGATGTTACATGCTTTCCCTCATTGACTTTGATGCAACTTTTCTTCCCTCTCTCAACTGAGTAACAAAAGAAACCATAGGTACCTCCTTCTCCATAGATGGGGAATGGGAGAATTAAGTGTAGATAGAGATTAAAAACTACAGATATGAACGATGGACTCTGACTTCAGAGGGAAAAAAAAGACAACAACAAAACAAACAAAACTGTGTACCTTCTGATTTTTAGGTGGTCTGACATGTCTTGCTTTATATACTGTGGTAGAGATTATAGCTGTAATACGACATTTATATGAGTTAACAGAACATGCGCATGGCTGGTTCAGTGAACACATGTGTAAACACTTACCTTTAAAAGTTGAATGCCTTCGAGAAGGATATCGCTTGCTGGGCCTTCTTTCAAATGTACTTGTTCTGCGTAATCTTGTCCCATGTGTTGCTTGATACTCTGTCCGACCACTTAAAATACAGAAATAAACAAAGTCAACTATTGCCTTTTGCTGGATGCTGTACCTGCTTCTTTGTACGACACAAATATATTACTGTTACTTTGATAAATACCTGAATCTGAAGCGTGATCCCAGCCTTATGAAGTCGGATCTACTAGATTTACTATTTGCTGGGGCTCGCAATCTGAAGAAAGCGTGGTGCTCCACTGCACACTTCCACAAATGTTTGCACGTTTTGGCACTGTCTAACCGGAAAACAAATGTGTGCTCTTGCTCTCTGCCCTAAATGCAGAAACAAAAGCTTTGGAAGTTGGCATGCATGATATTAATTACTGTCCTTGGTAGGTGAAATACAGGCTGGGCCAACAGTGTGCTGAACTTCCCTTGTGCTCTTACCAGCCTGAGCACACACCACACTTTGTTGGATCAGGCTTAAGTAAGGGAAGAAAGTTACCTGTTCATCATCTTCTACGACCACTAGTGTTAGTTTGCTCTTTTTGAAGTCCATTTTTGTGATTTTAGGCCTAAACACAAGAAGAAAAAGGAAAATTAATGGAAAAATTTTGTAATCTAGGAGAATCCGCCAAAATGTATGAGTGATCTGCAATCTTGGAACACTTCAGGAATCATAATAAAAGTATGATTTCCTGTAAATGTGACTATTTTTCAACAAATATTTCACATTTAAGACTCGTACTTCCTACAAGGCCAATTTACCTTCAGATTTAACCTTGATCATAGAATGGTTTGGGTTAGAAGGGACCTTTAAACGTTATCTTGTCCAATCTCCCTGCAGTGAGCAGGGACATTTCAACTAGACCAGACTGCTCAGAGCCCCATCCAACCTGACCTTGAGTGTTTCCAGGGATGGGGCCTCTACCACCTTTTGGGGCCACCTGTTAGTGTTTCACCACCCTCACTGTAATTTTTTTTCTTTATATCTAGTCTAAATCTACTGTCTTTTAGTTTAAAAAGATTAGCCCTTGTCCTATCGCAACAGACCCTACTAAAAAGTCTGTCCCCATCATTCTTGTAAGCCCCTTTTAATACTGAAAGGCTGTGATAAGGTCTCCCCTGAGCCTTCTCTTCTACAGGCTGAACAACCACAACTCTCTCAGCCTTTCCTCATAGGAGATTGCTATTTTAACCTTGTAGATTCAATCTACATTACAAAATACTGCCAAGACCCCATTATGTAAAGGAGAAAGCTTTCAGCATTTTAACAGAGAGGAATATAACACAAAAATAGATTACCAAAAGAATAAGCCTATTTTGTTGGCTCCTTCAAAGATCAATATGCCTGTTGGTGTCAGTCCAAGAGCATATTCACAGCCATCCCTTCCCTGCAAGCAAGCACAGAATCAATAATCAATATGCCATTAGTAGTGTAAATCTTACTACAGTAGTATGTTAAAATTAATTGGTTTTAAACTAAGTAAGTTTTGTGTATTTGTTTAAGGTTACAAAGCAGAAGAATATGCATCTGTATTGGATGCAAACTGGCAGGTTTTGGCAGCAGGGGGCTGCAGGTTGCCCTGCATAGGAGGAGGTCATGTGCTGCCCCAGATGGTTCTGATGCCTGTGGAAACAGCCCCACATCAACACTGCAGCCAGGGCAGCCCACATCTCAGTTCATGTGTTTAAAAGCAAGCAGTAGCTGCCACGGGAAGGAGATACCAAAGGAAAAATTAATGTACATGCGAAAAGGCATGTGGAAAAGGCTGGAGATGCACTCTTGGGAAGTGCAGGAGGAGCAGGAGGAGGTACTCCTGAGGGACTATGGCCCAGGGGAAACACACACAACAGAAACCCCCCTGAGCGGCTGACCCACACCAGGGCAGGGACAACACTGAGGGGCCATGGAGGTGCCTCACACTGGGACAGGAACAGCCCTGAAGGACTGCAGCCCACAGAGAACCCCTACCAGGCCAATGGGTGACCCATGCAGCAGCAGAGGAGCAGTAAGAAGCACAGGTCAGCAGAGGAAAGCAGGTGAGAAGCAGGAAGCAGCACAAAGAAACTGTTGTGCAGATAACCCCAACCTTGCGGGCTGCCTTGGGAGGGACTGAGTGTAACCAACTGGGAAAACAGAGAAGGCTGACACTAGAAAGAGGGAGGGGAGAGCTGCTGGACTGAAGTTGAGCTGGGGAAGGAGAAAGGTGTTTCTGTGTTGGTTTATTGTATTTTTTAATTAGTGATCTGATTAAAAAAATTTATGCTAATTGGCAGTACATTAAGTGAAATTCCCTGACTTGAAATGGTTTCGCCCGAGACAGCATCTCCATTCAATGTTCTGACACCACATTAACAAAATTAAGTGTAACACAGATCTTACCTTAACTACGTGCATATCGACACCATACATTTCTAGCCATTTAGCTTTGTTCAAGTAGCACAATTCAGCCTGCGCCGGGCTCTTTCCCCTAACAACATAAAATATGTTTATACTTCACCATACAAACTTTTTGTCTGTTTGAAATGTTTTAAAATTTGTTCCTCTATCCCTTTTCTTGGGGCTTTCAATCTTAATGACACTAATTATCCTTTTACCCTCTTCCCTCCAAATGAAAATAAATTGGAGAGACAAAAACAGAAAAAGTCTTAAAATTGCCAATAAGGATGAGAGTTCAGGTAAAACAGCATCACTGAAATGTACCATATTTATTAACAAAAAACAGGAAAAAGCATTTGCTACTACCCTGAGCACAAACCTTTGTGTTCTTGCGTGAAAGGCGGCCAGAAAAAGAAAGAAAGAGAATTATTTCCAACATAAACAGAAAAAAGATCTGACTGCTTAAACTGTTATAAAAATCATCCAAAGGAAAAAAAAACCCACAAACAAAAAACGGAACTCACCCCATCAACCTTGCTTAAATTACCGCTTGTCATTTCTAAGGAAGAGGAGGGCTCCGAGTCTTATCTACAATACTTCTACACTGACAAACATAATCACCATTTGATGTCTGTTGTTCTTGTGGACATATTTGACTTTGGAAAAAAAGAAAACCTCCTGTTGCTAGAGACACCGCTCCCACACA